AGCGCAAGGCCTTGCCAGACTCCAGGGAATATCTATTCTCAGGTGAGCAAAATACCTTATATTAAATGAAAATCAACTGTAAGGATTAGGACTTCACTCACAACTTGTTTTGGTGTTGTCATGAGTCTAGAGCCACTATTTGTTCATGAGTCTAGAGCCCCACTATTTGTTTTGGTCGAAGTTTACTCCTGTACATAAATATACATTTGTCATCAAAGGTGCTGTATTTTTAAATTGTCTCTTCTTCAGTTAATTTTCAGAATTTAAAACATGCTATGAAAAAAATGTTTAAAGAGAATCTTTATTCTAGTGAGGCAAAGGATACTTTTATGTTTTAGCCATTGATTGTAAGCTTTAAAAATAAATCTTTGGGGAAAAAATCAAGACATAATGCAAAGTCTATATTTAAAACTGGTTCCTGCTCTCCAATGCTAATTCTCCTCCAAGTTCAGTTTGTTTATTAAATAAGACTATGCCTCTGTGATAGGCCAGTATGGGGCTCAGCCACAGTGTCTTGGCCAGGTTCAAGCCTCGGACTAATGAAAGGACAGGGTCCTCTCATTGCCACATGCAAGTCCCAGCTGGAAGGGCAGGGCCCTCCCAGCACAATCATAGCCAGTGGCTGTGGTTGTAAGCTTGAACTTATGGTCCGAACACGTAGCCCCACATGCCTTGTGCTAGAGTTCAGGTGCATATAGTTGAGTAGGGTTGGAACTCACGAGAATGCTGTAAACTTGATCACACCCCTACTTTGCCTCGTGGCATCTGCTATAAAATAAAGACACGGCTTGTCTCCTCATCAGGGAGGCAGCTTCCCACCGAGACCCAACTGTCATTCTCTTGTCTGTCTTTTCTCAATCCTTTCACCCCACCCCCCCCACCCCCTCAGGATCACTGAACCAGGCTGAGCTGGCATGGCACATAAGGTGCCCTGGGGCTGAGTATGCCATGGCCGTGCCGGCTCCCTACAGGCCAGGTCCCAGGAAGGACAGATATTACCATTCCAACTCTCACTGGGGATGGAAGAGAAACCTGTAGTTTACAGGCTCCCAGATCCTCTCTCTCTTATATATATCCAATACTTAAAGTGATACTTACTTTAAAGAGCTAGTGTCATCAAATGCCAATTCTGTATAGCTGGTCACAGAATTTGATTCTTAAAAATTGGTTATTGAACTGAATTTATTTTACTAATCCCATTTATTTCAAAATAACTCTTTGGCTGTCCACTTAGCAGGAGTGGAGAACCTTTTTTTTGCTAAGGGTCATATGGATATTTATAACATCATTCACTTAATATAAATTTACACTCCTAGATTTATTGTATTTCGAGTCCCTCCCATAATTGCCTTGATAGGGCCACACCAAATGGTTTGTGGACCTTATACAGCCCTCATGCTGGATGTTCCCCACGCCTGACTTAAGACTATCTCCAAACTGGTGTTTGAACTCAGGCCTCGGAAGTAGCTGAGCTTGAATCCCTTTCCTTTGGTATCACACTTTTGGCCTAGACACAGAAACTTTTTTATAAAATATATTTTTATTGATTTCAGAAAGGAAGGGAGAGACATGGAAACATCAATGATGAGAATCATTGATTGGCTGTCTCCAGCATGCCCCCGACTGGGGATTGAACCTGCAACCTGGGCATGTGCCCTGACCGGGAATCAAACCGTGACCTCCAGGTTGACACTCAAACACTGAGTCACACAGCCCAGGCACGTTTATTTTATGTTTTTATTGCTTTTAGAGAAGGAGAGGGAGAAACATAGATGAGAGCCATCAATCAGCTTCCCCTGCCCCCCGGAGATCAAACCTGCAACCGGGCGTGTGCCCTAACTGGAAATTGAACTGGTGACCTCTCTGTGTATAGGGTGATGTTCAACCAACTAAGTTACACTGCCCAGGGCAACACAGAAACTTTTGAATGGAGTTAAAAGGTGCATGTAGTTGGGTAGGGTTGGAACTCATGAGATTGATCACGCCCCTACTTTGCCTCGTGGCATCTGCTATAAAATAAAGACACGGCTTATGGGCGCTGTCTCCTCATCAGGGAGCAGCGTCCCACCAAGACCCAGCTTTCAGCTGAGAACCTAAAAAGCCCTCCAGCTAACATCTGTGCAACACATCGAATACTAGTAAGCTAGTATTTTCTTTATGTCTAAAGAGTAGAACTGAAAGTGGTATTACAACTAAGGACAATGACAATGGCTCTCTGCTCAGTTTAGACATGAGTTTTAGACAGAATAAGGAAAAGAAACAAGTCTAAAACAGGACAAGAATAGAAGAATGGTACCCCTTCCCAAAATAAAGTGAGTGGAGGGCAATGGATTATTTTGTTTTAATGTTACTTAAATAATAATATAGGAGAAATTCTATTAAATAATACAACTTAGCCACAGAGTGAACTTGTAAGACTTTAAAAAAGAACGTCTAGAGAAAACAATCCTTTTGGATGAGGATAATAATTAATATTTATGGACTGAAAACATCCTTCACAATAGTCATTTAGGTTTGAGGTAAATGCAGTGGCACAATCCTCCAAAAGAATATTTCTTTTTTTAAAAAAATATTTTTATTGATTTCAGGGAGGAAGAGATAGAAATATCGATGAGAGAGAATAATTAATCAGCTGCCTCCTGCATGCCCCCTATTGGGGACTGAGCCTGCAACCTAGGCATGTGCCCTTGACCAGAATTGAACCTGGGACCCATCAGTCCGCAGGCCAATGCTCTATCCACTGAGCCAAACCAGCTAGGGCAAGAATATTTGACATAAAAAGGAACAGAATGTGGAAAAGGATGTTCCAACTATCCTCTCCATTCACGCCCCAAGTTTGCACAGACTGCTCTGCTATTCCTGCCTTTCCCATTTTAATTTCTTCTCAGTGGAACCATTGTGAAAACAGAAATGGTGATACTGAACCAGATATAAACAATTTCCAATGAAGACCTTAATAAATAGCTTCAAAACAAGCATTTTTAGGCTCTAGCCATTATCCATTGGTAAATACACATTTGTTGGCTTCTTTTTTCTTGGACAGTGAAGTCTTGAAAGCTTCAGATGTTGTCCTCCAGAACTTCAAAGTGTTTTATTAAAGAATGGATTTCACTTACCTGCTTCATATTCTGGTGGCTACTCTACCAATATAAATTTAGTCTTCATAGATTTAAAAAATATATTTTCATAGCAGTAAGTCTGTATCCATTATTGTGAAGTTTGCTTTCAAGGAATTTGATGTTCCAACATGAGTTAAATTACTTGCTCCCAAAGTAACTTCATTTGAAAGATGTCATAAAGCTTCTAGCTCTCTATTAAAATTCAAGCCATTCTGTCATGTAAATACAGTTAGATGGTGAAATCTCACCACCTTCATGGCAGTCGTCAAAAACCTTTAAAACAGAAAAATGTTTATATTCAAACTGAAGTTTAAAAAAAATACTACTAATAAAGTAAAATTAAGTGTCAACTATAACTCAAATTTCTATTAACGAGCTATCCAAGACCTAACCATTTACTTAAAGCACTATTAAAAACAAAACTTTCAAATTGAAGGAGATTAGCTCTGTATTTAAGGACACACTGTAATTAGGCCTGCTCTGTGATCATAAAGTTACTTAATGGGAAACCTTTTACTACAGCATTAAGATGACCATGTTCACCTGCCCACCGGGGAAAAGGCTATCAGCGGGTACCACAGGAATATAAGGGAGATCTATACTTAAGAATGACTTAGGCCGAAACCGGTTTGGCTCAGTGGATAGAGCGTCGGCCTGCGGACCGAAAGGTCCCAGGTTCGATTCCGGTCAAGGCATGTACCTGGGTTGCGGGCACATCCTCAGTGGGAGATGTGCAGGAGGCAGCTGATCGATGTTTCTCTCTCATCGATGTTTCTAACTCTCTATCTCTCTCCCTTCCTCTCTGTAAAAAATCAATAAAATATATTAAAAAAAAAAAAAAGAATGACTTAGTTTTGACTAACCAAATGTTTCCTGTTTAGCTACTTTCGTTTTCGTGAAGGGTGCCGAATAGAATTTCCAATGTGCTAGCCTTTTTTCTAGTAATTGAAACCATGGCATAGAATGCTTAGATATATAGAAAAGGGCCAGTATCTATAATAATAAAACCATAATATGCTAATTAGACCAGATGTCCTTCCAAACGAAGCCGGGGCTGCAAGGGAAGCCTGGGTCCCGGGTGCCTGCCAGCATCCGGAGGGAAGCCTTGGTCCTGAGTACCAGAGGGAAGCCGATGCCAGCAGCCGGGGGAAGGAAGGCCTACTCTTGCACGAATTTCGTGCATCGGGTCTCTAGTAATGAAATAAAACACAGACTAGCAGCCCATGAATATAAATGCGATGAGGGCTGGGGCAGTCCCTATAGTACACAATTGGCACTCATAAACTATATGGGAATGAATGAATGAATAGTACCTTGGGCATATTGCAGGAGACAGAACATTACCTCTGAGTTTGAATCCTGGTCGTTACTTCTAAGCTACATGCTCTTAGGTCTTTCTTAGCCTAAGTTCCCTTCTACTTAAGGGAAAATAACACCAGTAACTCAAAGGGACATAAGGAGGATTAAATGAAATCACATAAATCTTCAAAAACACGTCTGACTATGGTACGTTCTCAAATCTCATTTCTCACACTACTTAGGTTAAATGATTAATAGTTGTCAAAAACTGTCTAGCCAAAACCGGTTTGGCTCAGTGGATGGAGCGTCGGCTTGCGGACTGAAGGGTCCCAGGTTCGATTCCGGTCAGGGGCATGTACTTGGGTTGCGGGCACATCTCCAGTGGGAGATGTGCGGGAGGCAGCTGATTGATGCTTCTCTCTCATCGATGTTTCTAGCTTTCTATATCTCTCACTTCCTCTCTGTAAAAAATCAATAAAATATTTAAAAAAAAACCCCAAAAAACTGTCTATTTTAGGGCTAAGAGCAGAAAACACAGATCACTTATTTAAGGCAATGATTTGTTCATTAAATATCAAGATTACATGGAGGTTTGAGTAATTCTTGGTCAACCCTGAGAGTCAGAGAACTGGGGTGTGCTTGCTGGTACGTTATGTGGCATTTGCACTTGGAGGTAGTCAAGTGTAAGGTGAAGCCTCTTGAACTCACCGGGCAGAGTCCACAGGGGGTCCGGACCAAGCCCGTAGGTGGGATGATTGGATTGACTGCTCTGTACAGTTTCATGTGTCCGTCTACACTGCCAACTGTGCCTTCCTTTGCAGCGATGATAGTCATCTCCACTTTCCCATCATATATGAGTGTATTCAAGATGGTTTCAATGTCCTCCATGGACAACTCTACCTGTAAAGGGGATATATTAAAAAGGAAACAAAAAGGACAAAGACACATTCTTTTGGAGGGAGTTAAAAAACAAGTCATCAAAAACACAAAGAGGCTGAACAATGATTCAAGTTAACACAAACCACTCAAATGCTAGGGACAGAAATCTTACCTCAAACTGAGTTTGATATCTTTGCTTTTTAATGTATAACCTAGAAGTCTTATAAAGTCAAGTTTGGCAAGAACTGGATGGAGATTTATAAAATGCTTGAGCAGAAAGTACTTTAGATATAGAACAGTCTTTAGTCAAAATCACTAGTTTTTTTTATAAGTGAAAAATCTGGGAAATGAAAAATGACTTGTCCAAATGTTCACTTGAATTTCTTCTTTGATCATGAAAAGCATTCAGCACAGTTTCCTTATGTATAGTACCTTATGTAAAGGTCTTCAAAAAATATGCCGATCCCACCATATATCTCATAAGAAGGAAAATACCAATAAATGACAGCTGATGTGATGACTGTTTGGCACATATATTGAAATGTGCCTGAGAAAGTCAGAACAAACTTCTGAAAGTGAAGTGTACTACCAGGCTCCACTCTGCTGCACTACCTCCCAAGCCCAAATACACACAGTTCCGACAATGCCAATGGCAATGACCAACTTTGCCTAACAGGCTCAGGACAGTACTTTCTCAAAGTGGGTTCTGCAGAATATTCACAGGTTATCACCTGAAAAAAGGGTATGGATCAAATATGTTTGGCATATACTGTAAACTATACCACTATGATAAATAAGTTTTTAAAAATAAGATTAAAATTAGAAACTGAGTGCTGACCTTACTGATCCCCAATTCACAGATATATTTCCATACTTCGTGTGATGAAGCAAATGAACTATTTCTTTGTATCATTGGATTCTGTTTGCTTTCTCGGGCTGTTTCTGCCTATAAGGATAGACACATAAATCTCAGCAAGAACACTACTGTTTTCTGAATACAATTTATACGAAGTGAAATCAACAGAACATATTTTGTTTAGTAAAAATTACCAATTTAATGCCTATAAAATAAGACCTACAAAATTAAACATTATGAAGAAACTTAAAAAGAAATGATTGTTTACTCAATTATGCCTTACCTTGGTTTGTAGGAACTTAAAACACTGTTGGTTAAGCACCTCTACAAATTCAGATTCAAAATCCTGGTCACTGTACCAGGCTCCACCAGTCACAGACCGGTCAGGCTGCAGGTTATAGAGCATATACACCTTTTTCTTTGAGGCCTAGGAAAAAGCATGCACAGAAGATGTGCTTATAAGCTAACAATCTCCCAAAACTAAGATGTGAAAAAAGCTCAAAACATTGTATTTTAGAGTTTTAGATTCACAGAATTATTGTGAAAATGGTATAGAATTCCATTTACCTTGTGATGTTTTCCCTATTATTAGCATCTTACATTAATAGGGTACATTTGTTACAATGAACCAATATTGATATATTATGAACTAAAATCTATACTTTGTTCATATTTTCTGGTTTTTCTGGTCCATTTTTCTCCCCAAGATACCACATTAGATTTAGTTGTCATGTCTTCTGAGGCAAATTTTAGTTGTGACAGTTTTTAAGTGTTATTATCAATGAACTTGCCAGTTTTGAGAATTACTGGTCAGGTATTTTCAAGGATGCCCTTAACTGGGATTTGGTCTGATGTTTTTCTGATGATTAGACTGGAAGAAAGATCACAGAGATCAACTGACCTTCTTATCACATCATATCAAGGGTATGTGATTGTCACCAAGTGATGATTGTCATCAATATGACTTATCAGTGTTGACATTAACCTTAATCACCTGGCTAAAGGTACACTGTAGTTACTTTTTCCCCTGCCCTTTCCTTGAAACAAAGTTACCATGCACCACCCACAACTAAGGATTAGGAATTATGCTCTACTTTCTTTAGGGTGGAGTGTCTACATAAATTTGGACTTCTTCTGTACGGACTTGTCTGATCTGTCCTATTTATTCAAACATCTACTGGTATGGACTTAGGAATATTTATACTACTTGGTTTACAACCTTGAAAATATCATGCTAAGTGAAAGAAGCCAGACCCAAAAAACCACACATATGATTCCATTTATAGGAAATGTACAGAATAGGCAAATCTATAGAGATAGAACGTACATTAGTGATTGTCAGGGCCTTGGGACAAGAAGGTTGGAAAGTGACTGCTAGTGGGGTCACATGTTGGGGTGAGGAAAATGTTTTAAAATTACAAGAGTGTGATGGCTGCACAATCCTGTGAGTACACTAAAACCCAATGAATCATACCCTTTAAGAGGATTAATTTTGTAATATGTAAATATCTCAATAAAGCTATTAAAAATAAAGATATAGGAGAATTATAGAAATGAAGCTAGGAAATGGATATGTGGGGATTCATTATATTATTTTCTTTACTTCTATATATATTGGAACTTACCTATTAAAAATGTGAAACAGAAATAATATTCTAACTTAGGGAGTGGTATGACATAAATATCATTGATAAATAAAATCAAATGAATATCAAATCGTTTTTCTTTGGCCCGATGTTTTTTATTCACCTGGTGATTTTTATTTTATTTAATTTTTCAATTACAGTTGATATTCAATATTATTTTATATTTGTTTCAGGTGTACAGCCTTGTGGTTAGATAATCATATACCCTACAAGTGATCCCCTGATATTTCAAGTACGCACCTGGCACCATACATAGTTATTACATTATTGACTATATTCCCTATACTATACAATACATTTCTGTGATTATTCTGTAACTATCAATCTGTACTTCTTAATCCCTTTTCCTTTTCACCCAGTCCTCCAAACTCCCTCCCCCTCTAGCAACCATCAATTTGTTCTCTGTATCTGAGTCCGTTTCAGTTTATTCATGTATTTTGTTCTTTAGATTCCACATATAAGTACAATCATATATTTGTCTTTCTCTGACTTCTTTCACTTAGCGTAATACTCTCTAGGTCTGTCCCAAATGGTAAGATTCTATTCTTTCTTATGGCTAATATTCCATTATATATATTAGCACTGTGTTGTTTTTGTGTTTTTTGTTTGTTTGTTTGTTTTTTTATTACCACTGTTTTTTTATCCACTCGTCTACCTAGGTTGCTTCCATATCTTTGCTATTGTAAATAATGTAATGAGCATAGGGGTGCATATATTCTTTTGAATTAGTGTTTTTGGTTTCTTCGGATATATACCCAGAAGTAGAATTGCTGGGTCATAAGGCAGTTCCATTTTTTAATTTTTAGAGGAACCTCATAGTGTTTTCCATAGTGCCTGCATCAATTTGCATGAATATTAAATTCTTATATGCTGAAATTTGTGTTTAAGCAAACTTTAATATAGGGGAATTTTGGCTCCTCTGATACTAAAATCAGTGAGGTCAGCAGCAGATGTCCCTGGTGGACACAGCTCTGGAGCATGGAGCCCCTGAAGGATGTGATGGGTGGGGTGGGATCAGGAGGAGAAACACTGTGTGCTAGAAGAGATGATCCACCACGGCAGGGATCTTTCTCTGACTTATTCACTGTATCGCAAGCACCCAGAACAGTGCCTGACACATAGCAGGCACACGTAGATATTTGTTCAATGAGTAATCTAATATACCAAGATGAAGTAAATTCTCTTACACATCACAAAATCCAGGAAAAATGTTCATGATTCTAAAAATTCTCTCCTGAATAGAGTCAATTAGCTATAGATTTTTGAGTGGGTAAGAAGTTACATATCTAAGTAGCATCTCCAAACCAATTATGAGCTAAATTTTAAAAAATCTTGTTTTGATCAGTTGTTTTAAATCACAACACAGCTTAAAGAACAATAAAAACCTGAAATATAGTTGGAGCAATATATATAATAACATTTGGAATAAAAGAGAAAATTACTCACTGCTACAGACTTAACAGCTTTGATAAGCTTTTTACTTTCCAAATTCTTTAAAATTTTGTTAATTTCTGTTAATGGCAAATTACTTTTATACCGGATGTCTCTGCTCCATATTCCTATAAGAAAGTAAAGTAAGTTGAAAACTATAGGGTTTATGTTTATAATCCCATTGCTTATATCTCATACCAAAACCAGCAAAATAGGTATCTATATATTGCTAGGGCACAGCTATAGGAAAAATTAAGTGTCATAGAGGCAAGAATCTCACATAAAGTAACAAAAATATTAAAAAAATATATGTTATATGTTCTAGTTTCTATAGAAATTTCTTAGAATCCTAGTGTGAACCTTTTTAAGAACAAATGAAAAGGGCGCTTTTGTAATGGAAGAAAAATCTTGAATGCTATTGAATTTATGCAGTCATGTGCTACATACTGACATCTCAGTCAGTGATGGACCGCATGTATCCTGATGGGTCCAAAAGATTATAATAGAGCTGAAAATTTCTACTATCTGGTGTCCTAATGTTGTAGCCTCGCTCATTATCAAGTGTTTGTGGTAGTGCTGGTATAAACAAACCTACTAGTCGTATAAAAATACAGCATATACAAGTATGTACAGTATATAATACTTGATAAGTGACTATTTTACTGGGTTACGTATTTACTATACTATACTTTTAATCATGATTTTTAGAGTGTGCTCTCTCTACTTATAAAAAAAAGTTTGCTGTAAAACTATGCTGCAATAGCCTCCCCTATCCCTAGTCTCATACATCTCAGGTTTACTGTGTCTCTTGATTGTATCCTTTCTCTTTTGCTTGATTTAATCTTGTGTTGTTTTATATAGTAACATGCTGTATAAGCTTGTAGCTTAGGAGCAATAAGCCATACCATATAGCTTAGGTATGTAATAGGTTTATATCATCTATGTTTAAGTAAACTCTATGATATTTGCACAAGGACAATAAAATCACTTTAACTATGCATTTTTCAGAACTTATCCTTGTTAAGTGGAGCTTGACTGTCTCTCCCATTCCCTCCTGCACCCCAACCTCTGTTTTCTATAAATTTCACATCAGATTATATATGTAAAAGACAAACTTAAGTTTGGGCTACAGTCAGCTGCAATCTTCAAGGGAGAGCAAAAAACCCTTTATATGAGCACCTATGCCCATTATTTATACAGCACTACAGTCAGGAGTTGGAAAATAGGAAGACTATAGTTCTTACAGCCACTAAACAGACTGCAAAGGAAGGTATAATTTTTCTCAAAGAAAG